TCTGTAATGGAATACATTTTAAAAGTAACCTTCCCAACACTGCAGGTAATGCAGGAGGGTGAGGTCAGGCTCTTACATAAGAGACGGCTGTGATGAGGAGTGTAATGACAGCTGTAACCACTAGAGGGTGCTGAAGCATCATGGGAAAAGCAGCACACGGAGGACTGAATGATGAAGAAATATGTTGGGTAGAATGATACTGTTAATGAAAGGTGATAAAATATGCATTTAAGCCCCACAGTTCTTCTATTCTAAGACATTAATTTGGGTTCACAGACTAGATGAAAATGAGCTCTTTCTCTGCCACTGAACAGTAAGAGGTTAGCATCCATCAGACTGCCTGCAACATCTTTAGAGCTAGAGTCCAACCTCAGTATTGAATTTTTACCTTGTTGGAACTCTTCACTATAAAAGTTTTTAACAACAGTACTGTTGTCTTCTAACTCTGTCCAGTTAAAGCAGAGCAGCAGGAAAGGAACCTGGTTCCATTATCCTGTTAACATCCTCCAGGTCCCTGCTGACCCATCTACATCCAGCCCTGTTTAAAACCTTAAACAGAAACAAACCATGAGGCTAACATTAATGTGTGAGTGATGGTTTGAAAGAGGAGTGAAAGAAGCCATCTATGTCCACTGTGAACGACCATCTTTGAGCAGAGGTGGTGGTTTACGACACCAACTGTCTGCCATCTATAATCCAGTTTTGAGATCCATTCCCAGACGCCTTAACGCCCACTCACATCCTGGACCATTTTGACTTCAGGAAATCACATGACAGGGTGCGGCTAGGTTTCACAGTGAGTTCACCCGAAACATCGGCTGAATGTGACCTACACCCGTTTTCACACCTTAACAAATGTGATTAGATAGAGGATCAACAGGGGGTTCATGCCCCTCTAGGGGGACACTCCCATACGGCTTAAATTGGGGCTTTCCACAATTTGACGTTAGAACTAAAGAAGCTTCTCGGATGAGAGGTGAAACGTCTTCAAGCAACTTAAAGAAATCCAGACGCTTTTCTTTCCAAGCTCAATATACTTAGTCTCTGAATGAATGTGCAGCATTAATGTTTTTGGGCTGGCTTGAGTTTTTAGATGTGAATAAACAGATCTGGTAAGCAGGATGGTCTGTGGAGTTTAGGCTATATTTCTCAGATTTCTTTCCTTCTATGTACTTGTCATTGACTCAGGTGTGCAGATTTTCTTAAATTTGTTATTTGAATAAACTGATCTGGCCACTCAGATCTTTGCATTTGTGCTTGTAGCTCAAAATATGCAGCATTACTGAATATACAGTGATATGTAAATAGTAAATACTACTATTTTACCTCTGCCACACAGTTAGATTCTGCTCTGGGTCAGTCGGCTTACTGAAACGATCTCTCTGCCTCATCAGATATGACTCTGCCAACAACAGCTCAAACGATCCCACTGACATCCAAAAATAGGCTGCCATGCAGCTTGGACTCCTGGATCAAACCAGGAAATTCTCCTGATAATTGAATGAACTCAGCGCCACTTTTTCACAACCCGCCTGGCGTGCGATGGCCTTTAGGGTTAGGTTGGATTTCAGCTGCATGCTGAGTCAAATATAGAGAATCTAGAAGATCTTTTAAAGATTTACCTTTGCTTTGTAGTTCATCTAAGATTTCCATTTGAGCATTTCAAACAGGGATTTCTGATTCTAACCCTTACCCTGAACAATTTACTGAGGCCTGATGGACATTAAGAGTTTAAAGTATTATATTTGAAAATGTTTTGAAAATGAACAAGCAAAATTAATCAAAAACCAGTGAGATGATCAGATAAACAGCTGTCTGTCTGTCTGTCTGCAGCTGTTTTGGGAGAAGAGGTTGAAAGGTCTGCGGTCATCAGACGTCACAGAGCAGGTCCTGCGTACCATGGACCTGCCCAAAGGATTGCAGAGTAGGTCTCCAACAACAGCTTGATTCCAGTCCTTCAGCCTGTCTTGACCTCTGACCCATCTCTTGATCTCGTTCTCTCATTGGACAGGTGTCGGTCCAGATGCGAGTGACGACACCCTGCTGTCGGCCATCGCCAGTGCTCTGCACATGAGCTCGGCTCCGATTACGGGACAGACGTCTGTAGCGGCTGAGAAGAATCCGGCAATCTGGCTCAACACGTCCCAGCCGCTCTGCAAGGCCTTCACCGTCACTGACGAGCACATCCGGTAAGACCCGCAGTCCTCAAACAGTCTTTGTCCCCCCCCTCAGCTCAGTCACTACAAGGCATTTGGCTGATTGTAACCAAAGAGGGAGAAGTGCATGTTTCTCCCTCTGGCATGAGCACTTGAAGCCGTGCTAAAATGCTAATGTTTGTGCCAGCTCTCTGTGAACCCAGCTCTGAGGATTAATTTGGAACAGGGATTTTCATATTGAGAGGTGAAAGATACAATCAACACACACACAGATGCACACAGCTTAAGAAAGCAATTATGGTACTTTAAAGCTTTGAGTGTCCTGTTGCTGTATTTTTAGTTGTAATTAGTGCTTCTTGTGAGTCTCAACTAATCAGAGTACAAAGACATGATACACGGTGTGACTTACGCTTTCCAAGGAGATCATTATCTTTGAAGTCCACTGCAAACAAACATACACAAACATGCTAAGAGCTCCGGGGCTTGTTTAAAAGTTTTCTTCAGTATCAAAGTAATGCGGTGGTAGCTGTCTGTGCTTCGTTGGGAATACTGCAAGCCAGACCTTTTAAAAAATAGTAAATTTGGCATGCTTCTTGTATTGTCCATTTATTTTCCTCCACTTTTCTTATGTCGGCTTTCAGAAGAATATTCCAGACATGCTTCTCCAGCAGAGCTTTTCAGTTCCCATTTGGGGAGATGAGGTGTTCCCCAGCCAGATTAGATATTTAAACCCTTTCCAGCAAGTTCAGGTTCTGTCCCTGGGGGGGCTCTACTCTCATCTGGGTATGCCCAGAAAACCTCCAAAGGCAGATATCTAGGAGGCATTGTGATCAGCTGCCTGAACCATCTGTGTTGGCTCCTTTCAACACCTAGGAGCAGTGTCTCTACTCCGAATGTTCAAGCTCCTTTCTCATATCTCTTGAGCAAAAACCTGTTGAAAAGATGTTAAAGACATCTCATCCAGACAACTAAACAATGCTGAGATTTGTTTAAAATTGAAAGGAGAAAAGCTGAATTCGCAGTTAATTCAACAGATAAGCTAACCTCGAAGCAGCAAATATCCATGGACCCTGTTTTCTGGGCTTAATCTGACCTGCCAGTCATTTGCTTTTAACCCTCTGAAGTGTAAATCCTCACATCCAAATCCGAACTCAACCTTAGATTTTGCGGGGAAAACTGACCTTTTTGGGAAAAAGTGAGGAGTTTTTGATGTGTGTCAGGGAGAATCAGGATCTTTCCTGATTGGTATGAGTTGGGAGAACAATAGAAAAAAGACATACATGTTAGAGAAACAGAGGATTTATGCTTCAGTGGGAATTCTGTGCCACAGCTACGTTGTAACCACAAAGTCCTTTGAAGCCCTGTGATCTAACCCACGGTCTAACCTGACGTACACTTCAGTAGAACAACTGCGGTGATTAACCTGTTCGGTACCAGCGATTGCTCCTGTGTATTTCTGCCTATTTTTTCACTGCACTTTATGAATTCATCAGTGAGACAATAACAATCATATCCTCAATGTATAAGCATAAATGCTTTCCATGATGACTTAGATCTGAGGGGGTTAAATCAAATCAACCATTTACGTATAAAGTTGGTTTTAAAGCAAAAGGACATCTGAGCAGCTTGGTGAACTTCTCAGACAACCAACAGATTTAAATCCAGACCTTCTTTTACTGCTGTACCAACGAGTTCCTCCACATGGTTCACAAAGCATCTCTTTAATTGAGATCAAATGCAAAATGTCTCCACCTGTCTGCTTTTTTGTCACATTCAGGGTGAAACAGGGATCCTGGCAGTTAGCTTAACTTGTCGGAGGGTGGATCAAATGGGTGCGTCTAACATTCCTGCACAAGCAGATTACTTCTGATTGGATCACTTCCAAACTCGTGCCGCTTTTCTGCACAACTTAATTAGTTTTGAGTGGATCTCGTCATCTGTCCAGATTATTTTCACGTTGTTATTATTTCATACATAATAGTTTTTGTCCTCGTGAATTAGTTTTTATTTATCGGCTCGTGGTCATCAGTACAAAAAGGCTATAGACACAAATGCTGGTGTAAACATTAAGCACTGACTATCCTGAGGCTTGTGCAAGTCCGTGCACCATGACACAGTAACATAAATGATATAAACATGTTTTTTAAAACATATTTAAAAAGTTGTCAGCTGATAGGGTAGTCTGTGCGCTTGAGTCATCAGACCGTTTCACAACCAAATAAAATGTTAGATGTTGTGTGAAAGAAAGGCAAAGAGACGTGTTTGCATATTTAACGCAGCGCTGAGGTGTAACTGGGACACCGCGTCTAACACGATTTTAGATTTGATGGCTGTGTACAGTTCACACCTCAGATCAACAGAAAATAGCTGAGTGGGTAAACATGAATTGGAGAATGGCTGAGCCGAGTAAAGGTCTTCGTAATAGACTCAAAAGACAGCCTTTCACCTTTAACTCTTTCACTGCATTTAAATGTAAAGGTGATGTTTCTTTAGCCGGTTAACATCCAAGAAGACATTGGTGACCTGGTTCTGTTCATCTGGTCCAAAATAAGTGATCTTTATTATTGCGTTTAAGAATCGGGAGTCCTGCTTTTCTTGTTTTTGTCACTCAGTGACTCAGAGAAGTTGTATTCATCTTCACCTTCAGTGTGTTTGAGCAGGTTTTCCTCCTGAATGATGAAGCAGTTTTTAGTGGCGATTTATTCTGCACTTCTATTTACTTAAACTTGAAAAAAAAAAAAAAAACTGTTATCCTTGAACCTTTGTACTTGTGTGAATATTTGCAGAAATTTTAATTGCTGCAAGTGCTCTTAAAAATTCTCTAGTAACTTTTGTGCTGATTTATGTGATTCACTCTTTTTATTACTATGTTGCCCCTCTTACAAATGGAAAAGCTGTAATTTAAAAAAAGTTTTTTTTCTTCTTTTTTCTATTTAGTGCAGTCAGATTTTTCTGCTTCACTCTCATTTGGCTCAGCATGACCAGCAGCTTATTGTGGCTGCATAACTGACATTTATGACATTTATGACTTTTATCATTTACCAGTATTTCAAGTGCTAATTCTGCCCTCAGTTGAATCACACACAGAAGTGACAAATCACACACAGCTCAGCAGAAAGCTCTCAGATACACTCAGAATAAAATATTTCAAAATATGACAGTAGCTACAGATCCTTATTGTAGGATAAAGATGCAGACTATAAGCTTCTAAAGTTAACTCCATGTGAGTTCCAACCTAAGAGTCTATGAGCAACAGCCATGGACTCATGCTAGCCTTACTGAAACCTCGTTAATTCTTAGTTTTACCCTTAATGGATTGTCACTTTTTCTCACTGGAGCCTCAAAGTGGGCTTTCCTGCATCTGCAGCTAAATTCATCTTAAGAGATGTTGTCATCACCAGTTTTAAACAGAATGCGTCCATTCAGCTTGTAAGCATCGTCCTTTGATGGGCATAAGGCATTGACGTTCTGCGGGTTTTGTAGATTTAGAAACTCCTCTTTACTTTTTGCACACTTTAAGGGATAGCATAACAAAGAGAAAACGGGATTTGTTTGTAGTTACAGCTTTGTGTCTCTTCAGGCAAGCTTTGGAAACCTGAATTTGTCAGTTTTATCCAATTTGTCCTGACATAACTATTCAAGCTCCAGTGGAACTGGAGCAACCTCAGATATCACTCCGGTAGTTCTGAGGTTTGTCCGAGCCTCCCAAGGTCACCAGATTTGTTCTTTAGTTGTTCATGTGCTGTTTTGACTGTTTTCCTGGACCTGTCGACTGTGTTGGTGCTGTTATGTTTTGAAGCATTTTTAAGGGAATTAGTAGGTCTTATAAGTCGCCAAGTACGTGTTTCAGACTATCTAAGAAGTTTGTGCTCCAGTTTTGGTGAGTTAAATTCTAGTATTGTATGAGTCTATTACTAATACTGCACAAATAAACAGATGTTTGTGACTTTGTGTCTGCTAGTGTTAGCTAACAGCTAATCTCCTGTCCAAATATCCCAACTTTCAGCACATGTGGTGGAGATGTGCACAAACCAGTTTAAGCAGGTTTAAGCTCCAGTGTATTAATATTAGTGTACTTATAATTTTATTTAAGCCAGGACAACAATGATTCCGATTTATTTATTTAGTCTCTATTGTTTTTTTAATTATTTTAAATGCTCGTGGGCTTGACGTTGTTCATCTGGAACGTGAAGTGGATGTTTATCCCAGTTTACTTTTAATGCTCTTTGAGAAGATACAGGTGTGCTGTCTCTACAGTATAGGCCTGATCAATGTTTTTGGCAGATTCTCCAGGTGTTCAGTCAGTTATGGACACATCTGAAGAGTTATTAAAGTGAAAAGCAGCTGTTTCCACTTATGTCTCATTAATTGTAGATTGCCTGAAAAGCATATAATTTTTCTAGAATATTTTCTGGATCCACTGTATCAGTACAGTAATGCTTGGTGAGTAGTCTAATACTGTAGACTGAGCTAACCAGTGAGATTAAACACAATTATGTGATGCGTTTTCTCTGTTCGATGGTTATGCCGTTTGATGAGCATAGCTGCGTTTTGTGTGTTAGACATGGAAAAATGTAAATTCTCATTCCTTCTAGCCTCTGATAAAATGCAAAACGATTTCTGTCGCCTTCCAGGATGAGACAGATGTGGGTTGATGACTGATGCATGCTGGGTAGGGGGAGTAATCAGTTGTAGTGAGAGGGGAGGATGAGAAGGTGATGAGATAGGAGATGGACAAGGAGAGATGAGGAGCATGAAGGGAGTCGAGGGGGTGGGGGGGGGAGAGAGGCCACATTGGGAAATTAACATGAAACATATGATTCAATTTAATATCAAACTGCTAAATAAGTCTTGAGCCAAAAATGTTCACAGTCTGTTCTTATCTGCTCTGAATGACCTGCATATGAGAGGTTGAAGACATTAGCATTTTAGCTACAGGTCATGATTACCTCCATTATTACTATGATTCCCAGGAAGTATGTGGTTCTTCCTCTACGTGCCAAAAGCTACAGCCTGTTTAATGGCCACTTCAGGTTGACTCCAAAGATGTAGGTAGAAGCTTACAGCCTGATACAAAAAGTGGTTTGATCTCTATAGCTCTGTTTGTACTCCCACAACTATATACATGGTGGTGTTTAGAAATTCATTAGTCTGGATAAGTTAGTGACACAGGTGGCTGTAGCTGCCAGCTAGCTGTTTGCTAGGTGTCAACTCAGCTATTTTGAGGTGCTGAGCTGGATTTCTGAACGGTGTGATATCCCTGTGCTGGGTTTGTTGCTCATCATCATAATAATGTTGGTCCAAGATCAACAACAACAACTGACCAGTCATGTAGTTGTGATGTCACAGCTTTGTAATATGGGAGAAAAAAGTGCTTTTGTTTATATAAAACACTCTTCTGGATGTGTTTTCTTTTTAGTTAGCTTCTTGGCTAATGCTAACTGAGTGCTCAGTGCATATTTATCCTACACAAAACCATAGATAGGACACCAGGATTTCTTGATTAATAAGAACACCAGGGCTCCTATTTCCTATTTGCTTTGAATGCCTGTGGGCTTGATATAGTCTAATTTATCTGAAAAGTGAAGCAGCTGATTCTCCAGTATCATCCTGTTGCTCCTGCTGTCTGTGTTGCCAGACCAGGGTCCCTATAAAGCACAAATGCAATTAATACATGCTGACAGCAGGAGGCACTGTGGGGACACACATCTGGCTTTATATATATATATGTATGTGTGTGTGTCCAGTGGAAAACACTGGGGAGAACAGCTGGCCAAAGCCATTACAGCAGAATCACTCGAATACCTCACTAGATCCTTCCCTCCCATCTTCTCTCCTCCCCCTTTTTCTTCCTATTTTCTTCTCACCTCTTTTACTCCCTTTCCCTTCGTTCTTTTCCATTCATTCCTTCCTAATCTTATTTTGTTTTCATTCATTTTTTCTGTCCTCCTTTCCTTTTCCCCTTGTAATCCTTTCTTATATTTCTTGATGTTTTTCTTCCATCGACTTCTCCTTTCTTTACTGTTTCATTCTTCCTTACTTTATCGGCGTCATCCTTCCCATGTTTCATCCCCCTCTTCCTTTGTTTTCACACCTTCATCTTTCATCCCATTTCCATTTCCACCCCTCCTCCTCTGTTTTCCTCCATCCCTCCTCCTCGTATTCCTTTCCTTATCTCTCCCCTCCATTAATTTCCCATTCTCTCCCTCTTACCTCCTCTTTCTCTCTTTCCTTCTCCCTCTCTCTATCTCTCTATCTCTCTCTCCAGTTGAATGTGCTTGTCATCTTAAATTGCTCTCATTCCTTTCCTCTCCCTCCTCTTCCTCATCTTTCCACCACCTCTTCCTCCTGTGGCACATCAGGCCGACACAGCTCTGTTTTTGAAATCTCACGTTTTCATTTTGGTCAGCTTATTCATATTTTTCTCCCGCTGTTTGTTTTTTTTTTTTTTATCTCAGTTTTTAATTAAGAGTCTTATTTATCCCACGAAAAGCATCTTTCGATTGACTTGACTGTGTTTTCTTTCTTGATCCAGATTCAGTCTCAGATGTACACATGAGGCTGAGTCTGTTCTGCACAAATACATTTAATTACAACAGTATTTTTATATAAAAGTGATAAATATGTCCTCAGTTTGTCTTCTTCAGTGAAGATCATTGGATAATAACACAACAACCAGTGAGTATTCTGGATAAGTGTCCTGGATAATTCTTGTTTTTGAACCAGAATGATCAAAATGTAGAAAGTGGATAAAGCATTTTATTCAGTATGAATAATGCATAACCAAGCCCATAAACTTAGAAGCACTTTGCATCTTTTAAATATCCGACAACTGGAACAGACTTACTTTCAGTTTTTCACTAGAAGTCCTACAGTTTTCTGCATAGACTTTGAGTGTAACTGCTTCGTGTTTAATGTGAGCACACCACACCAGGGACCACAATTTACAAAATGAACTTGGTGTCATGTTCAGTAGGACTCGACCTAGTGACTGAGACCATAAACTCAGCAGGAAAGTGCTTGCAGTGCTCATAAATCAAGTGAACCTGTAGCCATTTTCTCACAGACTTCTACACAGCTGCAGCTCTGTGAGTCGCCCCCTGCTGGCTGATAAAAAGGATGCATATTTGAGGCAAAATAATTCGAGTTTCCATACCCAAAAGCTATGTGCATCTGTAATATCCAGTCATGACACAAAATACAAGGTTAAGATGAAACTATTGAAATAGCAAAAAACTGAAAAAACAAAACAAAAACCAAAACACTGTGATGGACGTGACCAATTCTTGTAGGCTGATACATGCATCCAATCAGCCAGTAGGACTGGACACACAAAATCAGAACTGTGTACTCTAATTTTATTCATTTTTAATGTAGGTGTCACTTTCTATGATTTATGTTTTCTGTTCATCATTGTTGTATTAAGATTTAGTGCTTCAGGTGCAGGATTAGTCTGCAGGCTTTGATACATTTGCTCTGATTAATAAAGTTGCTTCAGGTTTGTATTTTATAAAAATGGTCTTTATATGAAATTAAAACTGTCAGGAGAAACCAGCAGACTGTGGACTACGAGTAATAGTAAAGACATCTTAATAGAAAAAGACGTGTGTGTGTGTGTGCGTGCGTGCAGGGAGCAGGAAATGAAAGTGTACCAGGCCAGGAGGAGTCTGGAGGAAGCACTGATGGCTGACAGTTTGGCGCGGGCCGCCGAAAACACCCGAGAGCTGCTCGAGGGGAAGAAGGCCTGAAGACAAGACAGGTGAGATGTGGGCGAAATGAGTATGAACGGGTTAAAGACGTCGTCTCCAATGTGCACATGAGCTGCCGATAGGACTGGACAGATGACGTTAACCGGTAGTCATGGTAACTCAACGTGCTTTCCAGAATAGGAGAGCCGGAGGTGAAATATCTGTGAAAGACAGGAAATAAAGTTTCTATGGAGTGATTTTTAAGCAGTGTCACAGGTCACTGCTGTGAGCAGCCTGTTACAGTGTGTAGTTAAGTTTTAATAACCTCTGGTGGCCACGTGAAGAAGTGCTAGATACTTTTTAAAGTTATCTCACTCTGTGATGCAAGATAGGCAAATAAAAGTCACATGATCTGCCTGGCAAACAAACCCCTAGGATCAAAAAGCAAACAAAGCAAACAACATGAATCAAACAGCAACAAGGAATAAATAGAATAATGTATAACCTTTAAATGTCTTGAATCATGCAGAACCTTGTGTGTGTGTGTGTGTTTGGTGAGACTTGTTGTGAATGCTGATGAGATTCTCAGCGTCTGATTGAAACTCAGCTATGTAGCAGCGCAGCAGTGTGTCTGTGTGTGTGATTGATGGGCCGTGGGGTTGTGTGCGTGTGTGTGTTGTGTGTTTCGGTAGTTAATGCGTGTGTTGTATTACAGTTTGTTTGGTTATTGCCTATGTTTCACTCTGCGGAGCCCGTAAACAAATCCAGATTAAAAAACATTTACTTTCAGAAGTTCACACAGCCATCCATCATCTCGCCCATTTTCCGGCTGCTTATCCAGGTCAAGGTCGCCGTGGCAACGGGACGGCGCAGCAGACCAGAGGCTGTTTTCAGAATGAAAAGGTTTTTGCTGCAGAGTTTCAGACCTCGAAGGGGTTTTAGACACAAAGAAAACTCGAGGAGAACAGACCTGGTTGGTTAAACGTTGGTGTGATTTCTTGAGTCAGTCGGTAAAACTCAAGTGCAGTTTGTCCTGATTGCGGTGCTAAAGAGCAAATGAGTTAAACAAGTTGATCATGTGGGGTGCAACCTCTGGAGCATAAAAATGAACCTGCAGTTCCTCTCATGTCCACTTGAGGCGGGCTACAAATGTGAGGTGTCAATGTTTACAGCCTGTTTGAGTCGCTGTGTCATATTTCTGCTCTGTACATCAAATGGACTGGTACTTATACAGTGCCTTTCTACTCAGTTTGAGCCCTCGGCATCAGATCTTGCTGATACCAAGGATGCTTCAACACAAGGACTGCATGAGCGGGAATCATTCCATCAACCTTCCGATTGGTCAACGGCCCCCTCTGCCACCTGAACCACTACTTAAAGTTTGGGATGTTTCCGCTTTGATTGACTGTTGGTTGCTGGTGTTGGAGGCAGGTGTCACCTGAGTTAGTTTGGACTAATGAACATGTTTGAACTGTTGGTGCCTGCTGGCCTTGTAAAACATATTCAAAATACAGACAGTCTTGTTTTATGCTGTTTATCTCAAGATTATGCTTTGAGTATATCTGATCTCGCATTTGACCTCTAAACATTTTCCTGGTGAGTTTATGGACTCAGTCGTTCTGGGTCATAAACACATGAGGAGGATATGACCACAACTCATCCGTTATATTAGTTTATATTAGTTTTAAAGCACAAATGTGGCGACAGTGAAAACGTTCAACTCGTGGCTTCAGAGCCGTACTTCAGAGGCCATTGGGTGATGACAGGGCATCTACATTCATGTTTTAAATCATCCACGATCCCTGCAGACTGTTCTTAACTGGATTATTATTGCACTGGTGCAGTCCAACATCACACGTTTCTGCGAGGGAGCTGCAGGTTAAAGACTGGCTAAAGTACAACCTGACACCATGTTTTCACCTGCACCTCTAGAAAAGTCCAGTACTGCAGTCCATGTGTCTAAACTGTAAATGTCACCTTACTAACCAAAGGTTCCTAGCATTTTCCATTAACGTAGCACTTGACCTTCTAACGGCTCCTCTGGCTCCAGAAAACAAACCAACATGGCGAAGGGCGTAAAGCTGGAGTGGAGTTCCCGTGGCCGTATGCATGTTTCCTGTACGGTCTGTGGGAGAATTCAGCAGCTGAAGCATCAGCATCATGGCGCTCTTCTGTCCGGCACTCGTGTTATATTGCTTTTGTAAGCGTGTCATGATATGTCTGTTGGGTTTTATCTGTTGTTAATAGAGGCTGCAGTTACATATATGTGTGTGTGTGTCTTTGTGTGAGTGTGTGTGCTGATGCTTCCTCTAAAAGCTGACAGATAAGGAGGCTTTTTTTAAAGCACATTTGTTTTCTGTGGAGGGAAAATTGTCCATTAATGCAGATTTATGCAGATTGGCTGGATGGAAGTCGTTTGGGCGAAAAGAGCCACTGAGAGTCGAGGAGTGATTACTAATGGGTTTTTATAGCTGGACCAGAGAGAGGGGGCAGTGGGCAGCTTCTCTCTCTCTCTTTGTGTGCATGTGTGTGTATACGTGTGTGTTTCTGCTTCGGAGCTGTTGAAACAACCCTTTTAAATCTTTGTCGAATTCTCACACTGTTTGCTTTGCTTCCTGCTGCTCTGACTCTTATTTGTAGCGTCCTGCTAATTTATTTATGTTGGTTTTCTGGCTGAGTTGGCTTCTGCCATTCTCTATCTTTTATGCAACCCTTTATATTCTGCGCTTACTCAGAAACATGCTACACTAGGTGGCAATAACACTTTACAATACTGCTGCCATGAACGATGGGGGCAAACACGTCTAACGGTGCTGTATTCTTTTCTTTGAATGGATCAGTTTTCATTACCAGAAGTGTTGATGTGAGTTATGTTAGTACTGGTACCACACAAAATTCTTTATGTGCAGGAAAAACATTATTGTGTGGTTTAATCTATTGTAATGTGAATGATTTAGGTGGAGATGTATATCTTATATGAATAATTGAAATTGACAAAAAACCTTAAAAAGCCTTAAAAAGTAATTATAGTAAATACAGGTGGGAAGAGGCCCACTTTAGACCCTCTCCTGCATTCTGGCATCTCTGCCAAGAAGAGAGAAAGAGGGTGTCTGCTGTTAGTCTGCAGGAAATTTAAAGATGGTGACAAAATAAAGAAGCAGTTTTTGTGCAAACAGATGGGTTTAGGTTTAACTCACTCTTTATTCTACAATCCTTTTAAAGCTAATAAACCTTTGGTCAGTGGTCATAGCTTCTTCCTTCTATGTTTAAGCTCAATGATCAACTGTTAGCCAAATTTGGCCAAATATTAACAGGTCAGTCTCATTGCATTAGGAGCTATTGTCCATAGCCTGAAAAGACTGAAAAGTGGCGCTGGTTTTTCATGTGGGCTTTTTGTGTACTGCTTTTAAGAGTGTAAGAGTTTCTGTGTGAGGTGAAACATTTCTCATTGGCATTTCTGCACTTGTCGGGGTTTGAATTAGGCCTGGGTCCATTTTAGCTACATGCTGGCACGTTTTTAGGCATTAGAAAATGTTACCTTTCAAGTAAAATGTCATAGATTTGTTTTGGCTTTACAGTTTTTTTCTGTTAAAAACTTTTCCATTTGGGTGTTTAAAAAAAGTAAACAGTGGTTGAAACACCTACCAATGATGAAGTCTGTCAACTGCCTTGATTTTGA